ATCTTAAGGGAACACCAAGCTTTGCATCCCAGACATGAATGGTTGCTCCCCAGAAGGGTCCCTGAAGTGACTATGTCCCTTGGGAGCCCCATATTTCTCTTGTCAGATCTGCCTCCGGCAGTTTAATTTTACCTGAACAGGCCTGAGCCTTCAGGTTTCTCACAACCCCTTCTACTAATCAGAGTTCTGAAGAAGAGGCCTAGGGAATCCCAGCTTGTTTAGTCCATTTCACCAAGGGTTCCTGTCTGATGGGCCAACTTGTAGAACTTAATTCACAGCAGGGAAGAGCCCTGGGTCACCAAAAAATGAAGTTGCCATGCTCAACCTTTTCCTGAATTTGATTTTTATGTCCCTATTTGCCCTGCCTACCCCTGTGGTTGGCCTGCCTGAAGAAGATATTCAGAGAATATATTTCAAATTCAGTCTGCCTCAGGGACAAGAGAAACAAGGGACAGTGAGCTCTGCCTTAGAAACTGTAACCTCCTCTGACAGAAGAGCATGACCCTACCTCGAAATAGGTGCAGAAAACTCTTTTATTCTTTTATTTACATTAAAAATCATCACTACAAGAGACACAGTTTAATACTTCCCAGTTGTCCCTCTCAGGAAATTTATTCTTCCATTTGACTTCAGTGCTTTTATGCTACAACTTTCTTCCTCCAGGGAGAAGAGCTGATTGGCATTATCTATCTTAAAAGTCTGTTTTTTAATGGTTGTCACTAAATCTTTTGGACACAACATCTTCTCCAGACACAATAAGCTTGGTTCCTTTATCTTCTCTGCACATATTACATTTTCCAATTCTTTGTGTTTATCATGATCAACCTCATATAAATTATGGTACTAGACATTGAAGAGTGATAAAGGGAGACAGTAGACAAAGTGTTCTTGGAGAGACTTAGAAGCTCTTGGAAAGGGAGAGGGAAAATAAACATACATGAGATATAGTTACACACTTAGCAACATTAAATAAATATATAGCTAACTTCACCTGTACAAATAGTGTTGAAGGAGTATTAGAGATGGCCATATTCAAAGTGAGTTAGTTATTGTGAAAACAATAATGAACAATGTTAGGAAGTAAGAAGGACCCAGAAAGGAGGAATTGGAAAGTCTCTTTTTTTGCTCATCAGTTATGTGCATTGAAGAATCCATCTCCAGTGCCTGACACAGGCCTGGCTTATTTAGGCACCCAGTAAGTATTTGTTTGATTGGATAACTTAGTACCCTAGTTATCTAGAGCATAAAGGGCATGCCAGTAGGATTTGGTTTGTAAATTTGCAAATAATTCTTGTATTCTACATACAAGATATAGACATTTTAGAAATTTGTAGAGATTTTAGAGTAGAGAAAATTTTAAGTAGCAAAACCTAACAGATATGCTGCCTTCCATTTGTCCTTGCTATAGATTATTTCAGTCATCTCCCTTGTGACTCTGTCCAGCTGACTTGTCTTCCTGAAAACCAAAAGAAGAGGTAGGAGCTAATCTTGAATGACAGTTCAGCCACTTATTTGAATCACAATGTTGCTGTTTCTTAGTATGCTACCACATCACTTTCATTTTACTCTACCTAAGGATTTTCATTATCAATTACCTTTCAAAAAGATTATTCCTCACATTCATGTACTCCCAATCACCCTGTCCCCCATACTTGAACATCGTATACTACTACCCTCAGAATCCCTCTGAAAGACTGTCCTCGGTTTCCATTTCTGCACATATGTTTGAGTCTCAAGTTGCCTTGCAAATGTTTTAATACATTCAACAACAACAGCAATAAAACAATAATATCTAAATGTTCTGTTATATTCCAGACTGAATCCTGAAACAGAGATAGGGCATTAGTGAAACAACTGATGAAATCTGAATGAAGTGTAAATATAATAAACATAATAATTAATATCTGAGTTTTGACCAGTATTCCATGGCTATATAAGATGTGAACATTTGAATGAAGCTGGATAAAGGGTATAAAGATGTGAACATGTTACACATAAAGAGGACATTTAGACACTCAAATACATATCCAGTCCTGATTCTTTGCAAAATGTATTTCTCAAGCATGAGAAAAGTTGAAGACCACTAAAGTATACTTTTAGATAGTTCTGGATATTGTAAAGTAAACAAATTAAAAACAGATGACCCTTGTCCGTGCTCAGTCCCCTTCCTGTTAACTCTCTCTTGGTCTGTTTCATCCATCCCCACTACTTTTGCTGTCCCTGTATGCTGATGCCAGTAGTGCCCTGTCTCTTCTGCATCCCTCACACACTCATCCATACTTGTTACCCCCTACGCAAGCACTCAATATTCAGCATGTATAAAACTCTACTTGGTTGTCCTCTTCCTTGACAATCTGCCCTCCCTTGGCCAATGGCACCACCGTTCTATCACCCACACCAGCCTACTTCAGTCACCTTCAACTCCTTTCTCCTCACCCATTCTAAACATTGTTAATTCTTCTTCCAAAAGCCTCTTGTGTCTACCAATCCCCCACTTCTTTCACTACTTGTCATTAAAAACAAGTAAGACCTTGTCGGGTATACTGCCTACAGTCTCTCCATCCCCCTACTGAATTCAGAGGGCACAATAAAGTGCATTTTGACTGCTTCAAAAAAGTCATTTGACTATACTGCTACTGGCCTAAACAGTAACAAACATATATCTGGAAGAGATATGCATGCTATAGCTAAATAGGATGGTTAACTCATACCTCCCTCCCTCCTTCTTCCACCCCCAACCCTAGGAAACTGGAAGGAGACCTATGGACTCAGAAATCCTGGCCTTGAATCCCAGCTTGTGACCCTGGGCAAATCAGTCTATGCCTGTGAGCCCATTTCCTCATATGTGAGACAGAACTTGTACTTAATGTTCAGGACTATTGTCAGGACTGAATGAAATGATGTGTGTTGAGTGCCAAGCCCAAAGTGGGCTTCTCTTGCTGTTCTTAGTGCTTAACACTATAAGGTGCCATAGGAATAGGTCTCTTGATCATCTTTGTCATGTGTTATTGCAAATGGAGGTTGTTTTGTTCTATTATTTAGTACTGATTTCTGGGCTCTACACATATATAAGCCCTGTCATTTTCAAAAGCTCCCTGAGTGATTCTAATAGACAGCCAGGGTTATAATCCACATGTTGTATCAGTCCAGAAGTATGTACTCCATGCACAACTCTTACCATCTTCTATATCCAGGTTATGCCTTGCCTTTACTCGGCTTCCTGATTCTTGAACTCAGATCTTATTCACAGATGTCCCCCTAATGACTGGCATAGTGTTTGACATGTAATGGACAGTCATAAACGTTAACTGAATGAGTTGGCTTTTTTTTCATTTAATAATAAGATAATTGCATAGTAACATGTTAGACAAAGAAAATGCCAGCACCATGAGTTTCATGTATGTGTGGTATTTTACAACTATCTATACTTTGGTACCTTTTTGCTTGCTCATTATCCATTTCTTTAAAATTTATTTATTTATTTATTTATTTATTGCAGTACTTAGGATTGAACCCAGGGCCCAGAGCCTAGTACATGCTAGGTACTTGGGATTGAACCCAAGTATTTATTTTTTGTTTTGAGACAGGGACTCACTAAGTTGCCAAAACTGGCCTTGAATTTGTAATCCTCCTGCCTCAACCTTCCAAGAAACTGGAATTATAGATGTGTACCATTATCCCCAGATCAATTTTTTTTCCTGTTCACACACTGTCATCTCTCCAGATGCAGTAAACTGACAATAACAAAGATATGAACTTTGTTCGAGAGCCCCTTTTTAATATTTTTTAAATTGTGTTAATCAGCTTTTAGTCACTATGACAAAATCTTGGAAAAAAAAACAAATTGATGGAGAAAAGACTTATTTTGGTTCATGGTTTTGGAGGTTTGATTCATAGTCATTCAGCTCCATGTTTCTGGGCCTGTGTGAGGCAGAGCATCATGACCAAGAGCATGGTGCAGCAGAGCTGCCCCCTTCATGCTGACTGTGAAGCAAAGGGAGAAAACAAGAAAAGAACCAGGGACAAGATATACTCTTCCAGTGTGTGCCCCTAGTAATCTACTTCCCCCAAATAGGCCCCACCTCTCTAGTTTCCACCAACACTCAACAGTCCTTTCAGTTCTGAACCTTTCAATGGACTAATCCATTGATGATACAGCTCTCATCACTTCCCAGCCTTACTGAACACTGATGCTTTGGGGACCAAACCTTCAACACATGAGCCTGTGGGGGACATTCCAAATCCAAACAGTAACACTCATTATTCTCATCTGCACTTAGGTTTTAAATATTACCATCACTATACATTTAAAGGATAGTTCATTAATGTGATATCAGTACCACAGTTCCCTATTAATGAAAACCATAGAAGGTTCTGACATACATGTGGGTTGTTAATCCAATGTTCCTAAACTCTGAAATTAATTTAGGTATGCAGTATTACAGCTAGAAATATATTTGGAGAGATTTCAGTTTCAGTCACCCTTATTATATAGTGCAGAAGCTGAAGTTTCTGGGGCTTGGGAACTTGCCCTAGTTCATACAGCTTTTTAGGGACATAGCTGGTATGGGAAAACTAATGCCCTAGTCCTCAGGTCTAGACCATTTCACAGTACTTGTAGTATTTACAGTAAAAATGAAAGACCAGGTCTAGAGATGGAGCTTAGTGGTACAGTGCTTGCCTAGCATGTGTGAGGTCCTGAGTTCTATTCCCAGGACCACAAGAAAAAAGAAGGAGAAGAGGGAGAGGGAGAGGGAGACAACAATGACAATGAAACTCATACTGCCATTTCTTTTCATTCTGGGATCTATGTTAGAAAAATATTTGAGGAAAAGAAATTATTGTGAGTTTCTTAATAGATTTGGAAAAAAAAGATTTGGAGAGTAGGGGTAGAAAGGCAAGAAGTCAGAGAATAAGAATTCTTGAATAAGACCTTGAAACTTATGAGAAAAGGTGTCTTGCGGCAACACAATTCACTTATGTATCTGCCCTTTTTTCAGAATTTTCCCCAGAGAATACCTCCTTCAACAGATCCACCTGTATTCCCTGGCTGACCTGCAGCAGGTAAGTGCTGAGGGGCCATTGCATTTTTCATTTTCTTCTAGGGAATTGTCTGTTGATTATGGTCTTGGCACCGAGTCCTGCCATCACTGGGGTCATGTTCATCACAATCCCTAATACTTAATTTCTTTTCAAAATGGGAGGGGAAAAAACAGTATAAAAAGATACTATAAGACAATAACAATTATTGGCAAGAAAGTGGAGAAACTGGAGCTCTCATGCATTGTTAGTAGGAATGTGAGTAGTATAGCCACTCTGGAAAACAGCTGGCAGTTCTTCAAAAAGTTAAACATAGATTTACTATATGACCCAGTGATTCCTCCCCATAGTATATACCGACATGACTTAAAAACATAAATTCACATAAAAAATCGCACAAAACTATTTTGTGCAGCATTATTCATAACAGCAAAAAAACTGGGAGAGACCAAAAGTTCATCAGCTAATGAATGGATGAACAAAATGTGTCTATCCATTCAATAAAATATTATCCATCCATACAAAGGAGTGAAGTGCTGATACATGCTATGACATGGACAAACCTTGAAAACATCATGTGAAGTGAGAGAAACCAGATAAGAAATCATTTGTATTTTATGATTCTATTTAAATGAAATATTCAGAATAGGCAAATTCATAGTGACAGAAAATAGTGTTGGCTATGATCTGGGGAGCTAGAGGGATAAACAGAGACTGCTAGTGGATGTGGGATTTCTTTGGAGGGTGATAAAAGGGTTCTGGAATAAGTGATGGTGGTTGCACAATCATGGATACTAAAAATTAGTGAGTTGTTTACGTTAGAAGGGTGAATTTTCTGGCAAGTGACTTTATTTCAGTTTTTTTTTAATGTGAAGAAAAAAGATGAAAAAATTAATGATTGCATGTGTTAAGCCAATGATTGTGCTCAAGCCAAACAGATGAATGACTTTTAAAGTTTAATAAAACACAACAGAACATTTAAGAGTCAAATCATTTTTTATACTTTTGTTAGTACATGTCCTTTTAATGGTTGACCAGGTTTGCAGCCAGGAAGAAACTAAGGTTTTGTGTGTCCAGCCCTAAGTTTGAGTATGTTAAGTTTTGGTTAATCATTTAAATCAACATCTTACTCCCTAAGAAGCTGTCAGACACTAAATGAAAACATTACTTTCCTTCTATATATGTACTGATTCTTTCAATAGTCAGTTAAAAAGCAATTGTGACAACTTTCAGAATATCTCAAACTACTGTGATTCTGATCTTCTGTTGTTTTCCTCTCTGGTTGTTTCACCCAGAAGGAATGAGATCCACTTAAAACTGTGTTCATATCCTTTGGGTGTTCTTCAAACTTGAAATTCTTTTTTAAGGTGTTTTTGTGTGTGTGTGTGTGTGTGTGTGTGTGTGTGTGTGTTTTCATTAAAAAAAAATGAAGACTTTTGTGTTCTTTGTCCTTCTGCAGGTAAGAAAGTTATTTTGTTTTATTATTTTTTTAAAAAAAATTTGTAGTTGCAAATGGACAGCATATCTTTATTTTATTTGTTTATTTTTGTGTGGTGCTGAGGATTGAACCCAGTGCCTCACACGTGCAAGGCAAGTGCTCTGTCACTGATCTACGGCCCCAGCCCAAGAAAGTTATTTTAAATAACAGAAATAATTTTAGAACATTTAGTTGAAGAGGTCTGAGAGAAGCCTGGGGCTTTAATTTCCACTCATGTGTCAGATTCAAACCTACTGGAACATATCTGTTTGCTCCAACTCCTTCAGTCCTGCGTGTTCTTTACTGCACAAGCAAGCTTTACTGCACTGGCTGCACTGGATAGGGGTATATTTTTAATTACAATTATGCTGTGGTGTTCCTAGAATAGTAATCAGCTGAAACACTCAATGTGCATTTCCTGTTACTTTCTAGCAGTCTGTCTGATCATAGTATGAGGACCCAGACTCTATCACTTGAGAAGTGGGTTTAAAGGCACCAAACATTCTTGTAAAGGTGGTTTAAAATAGAATGGGTGGCTCCAAAGTGAATACTCTTTGAGGAAGCCTTTCAGAAACGAGTTTTGATATTAGATGAAGAGAAAGAATCAGAGTAATTCCATATTCATTTTAGGGTATCAAAGTAGTGTGTGCCCGTTTGGAATAATAAAACCTGCTTTTTAAGGCTTTCCTGTACCCTGCTGTCTTTTTCTTCTTCTTTTCTTTTTTCCCCTTATAATAATCAAACCATACGTGCCAAGCAGCTTGCTTAAATCAGTGCTGGTGGTGTTCTTGGTGGCCAGGCCATTAGCCCCCAGAGCCCCATAAGCAGCTTAATCAGTTTTCAGCCTGGTAGTAAAGTGATAGAGGCAATCAACAGCTTATCAAACTCCCCGTGGGTGGGGCAGCTAGAGCTCAATGCATCCATTTACTGAGCAGCTCACTCTAACCCAGGTCTTTGTGCCTGGCTTAAGAGCCCCAAACTTATCATATTTAGAGGAAGTTTAATTCAATTACATTTTCTGCCTGAGGTGGGTTAAATTGGATTTAGCTTTTGATCTGTCTGCATTTTGACTATCTGCACTGAAGGGCACCCCCTACCCCATCTTCTTTCAGTTTCTGGGTAAATGACAAGCATGTTTTCTAGGTTTGAACTGATCTTGAAAACACATAAGAGTAAGAACATAAGGAGAGGGAAAGGAAAAAAAAATCCTTCTGCTTTGTGAAAGAGCTAGTCAATGGTAGCAGGAAACCCTACCTTCCTGACCCAACCACCAGCTCCTCGAGGCCCTGGGCCGTTTTCACATCTCCCTAGCTGCTTTGTCATCCTGTTTCAGCTTCAGGAATTTAAGAATAAATTATTTTCCCCTGTTTGATTTCATTCCTCACTCCCAAAGGTTTCTATAAGAGCAGATTTTTCTATCTTGTAAAATAACTGTAGAAAAAGGAATTTTCATGTACAGATTTTGAAGGGAAAAAGAAGATAAATTAAACCAAGTGCTTGAAGAATCATAGAAAATGACAATACAAATATTCTTCCTAAATGCACAGATTCCTTTCTAGAAGTTTCTCTTGAGTACATTTTTCCATTACTTTTGATTTCAAAAGCAAACGTTTTTCTTTAAAAAGAAAAAAAGGTAAACCTTTAACGAATATGGTAGAGAACTTGAAAGTATTATAGTATGCAAAGCACTAATAATACATAAAGGTGCTGAAAGGATTTTGGTGCCAAAAAAATTTGCCACCTTCTTGTCTTTCTCCAGATTCATATTTATAAATAATAGTCTCTAAAGTTTTAGTAAATAGATTTAGTCCTCAATTTGGCTGAAGATTACAAGCTACTTTTATGCATCTATTTTTACAGTCAAGACAATTTCCCCCAGCTTTTCATTATTTGAATTTATTGCCCTCTTTGCATGTATTCTTTCTTACTGTTACACACTTGGATAGGAGGAAATAAATAGCAAGGGTTGATGATTACCTAGTAAAGGAGATTCTTTCCATTTGTTCTGGGAACCACAGTCACCTGGCTACTGCTCACTGAGCATCAGTTATTGGCAAAATTTATTTGGATGTTAAGTAACTAAATTGCTCTCTGTGTATTACTAGCATACACATGGAAATGGTAGTAGCTCAACAGTACATTGTCATTATCTACTGTGAACAATTGGCAGCATTTAGCCATCACATGTGAAATAGAGATAAGAACCCCTCTGGCCTAGTGGCAGGGCCAAGAAAGCAGCCTAGAGAGGTGGAGGGTCTCCAAATCTGAGAAGTTCCTGAGAATACCAGCTTGATTCACTCATTTCTTAAGTTTGGAATTCCAGATAAATTTCTGTTGTATAAAGTATATAATATTAGAAGAATATATTCAATCTGTACACTTTGAATATAAAATTAACATTTACATTTTCTGCCTAAGGTAGGTTAAATTGTAAAATAAAATCCCCTTTTTTTGGTAAAATAAAATCTTATGAACAGAAACATTCAGGAAGTGTGAATGCATAGTGGGTTTTTGAAATGACAAAGCAGTTACTTATAAAGGAAATCACTAACCATATGTGAACAAATGGTCATGTATTGGTGCATATTTTTAACGGGGAAACTTCTTTTGAGAGCTTTTCCTTGGTTTGATGCTTTGAGAAGGGGAAATAGAATAGAATTTATGTTTGGTTATTTTCAGTCTTTCCACCATTATCACAAATCAGTGGGAAAGTTTAGGTCAGGAATTCTATAAAAAGATATGCTCAAGAGGGGCAGTGGGAACATACCCTTAGTGCCTTAGCTTTCCCCTTTCCACAGTGAGTGTATAACAAACCATGCCTTACTCATGTCCCTTTGGCTCTCTTACCACTGATAAAGAGGTTCCAAATTTTACCAGTATATGTAAATTACTATTCAAGAGTTCTAGTTGTTCTTATGGTGCAAATCAGAACCTTGGTTTAATATGTCATTCCTTGGACTGTGTAAATGATAGGAGAATTCTTCTAGAGTTCCTTCTACTTGCTAAAAGAAAAGGTCAAATTGACTTCTAAATTCTGTCTACCTGTGCTCTTGCAACAAAACCTAAAATGCATATTAATGACTAACTCTTCTGGTGTTACTCACCTTTGGGGCATTTGTAAGTTAAGTATTGAATGATTCTATTTATACATGATTCAAGAGAAAGGATACTGGATGGTCCCTTGGGGGAGGCAGTTGGTTAGAGTAGCCCCTCTCCACCTACTCCCTCCACTGCCCACCACCTCAGCTACACACACACACACACACACACACACACACACACACACACACACACACACCTCTGTGAGATAATCTAGCGGGCTGATTTTCCCATTATTCACCTTCTCAGAGTCCTGAATTTCCAAAGTAGGCCCTTCCTTAAAGTTAAGAAGTTTATATTCTACTTAACATAATATATATTGCCCAAGAAAATAAATTGTTACTTTGGCACAGATTCATTTGTCTTGTTAATAAATTGAAAACATAACATGATATTTCAGGAGAAAATATTTCAACAGATAAGTCTTAATGACAGGAAAGGAAGGAAA